TTAAATGTGTAGAACAATTTAGAAAATCTCAGTGTAAAGATTATAAAGAGGAACTTGTGTTAAATATTTATTCCCCCCCCCCCTTTAGTGTGTGTCATTTGGACCTGAGTATGAAATCATTTTTCTGGTTAATAAATTATATTGTATCTAAGTACGTTTCTCTTCTATAACATTTTGGGATGTAGCACCCATGGAAATCATTGTCTCGTTTCCGGTTACTTCCCTTTGGTAGACGGGATATGGGTTTAATGGTATCTGTGTAAGTTCAGGGAGCTTTGGGCGTGTGCTCTCACAGCTTTACTTTGCTGTGTATGTATACACGCTATAGACATGGATTCAGAATGTTCTATTTTTAGATGCCAACCTGTCACACACAGATGCTCTCCCAGACCAGATCAGGATTGTCAGCCACAGGAGGAAAAGGAATCATTTAATTAGTGCTATTCAGTATAGTACGCACTACAGATTGGGATATAGCCAAGATACAAAGCTACATACTACTAGATCTGTCATCAAGATTCAAACTCACACTTACTACAAAAGCTATGACACCTTAATAGTTACACTTGAAACCATATGGAAGTTACAGGAACTGAGTAGTATACAAAGTACTTTGGCTCTCGCAGCCATCATTCTGGCTCTTTTAATGAAAACAGTGATATTCAAACAAAAATGAAATGCTGGCAAATTCATGGCCACTGGCTGCGCACAAAGTGAGTTCCCTTTCTTGGCCTAAGGAGATTTTCACAGCTGACTTCAGCTGTTCAGTTCCCTGTACATGAGCCAACCAGCTGCAGCTAAGACTGGAGGACTGGCTCTCCTTTCTGTGCCTGATCTGTGAAAAAGACCATAGCCCTGGGGTCAAAACCAAGGATGGGTGTTGTATGTGTGAGTCACTGCTCTTCTGTCCCCTAGACTATGACCCTGGATTTGACAGATGATAAAAGATTCGAATAGCTGTGTCAGTGAACAAAGAAGAAATGAAGACATGCAAATGAGGTGTGGACTGACTCCTTTCCCAGGGAGAGTCAGAAAAGTCCCCACTAGCACAGTGAGGATGGTAACTGACTCAGGTCCTTTCAAGCTACAGTAGAACAGGGAGGAAAATAGCACAGGGCCACAGTAGGTCATATGGGGTAAGTAGGAGCTAATGATAAAGGGCACATAGGGGTCACTTCCCCCAGCCACCTGTGCCTTGCAAAACATATACAAAGTATTTTTCATTCCTCAAAATCATGACCTGAACCTGGCCTCCTCACTTTTAGGAAATAGTTAAGACAACCCACACAAGCCTCCCCCAAATTTCTTTACATGTCCTGCCATGAAGCTGACCAAACTTACAACTCCTCCTCCCCAATTGACTCCGTAAGTTTGCTTATACTGTTCTCTCCCTAGCAAGCCACTCCCAGCCCTCTAACCCAGTTATTCTACAAATGGGCTGCACCAACTGCTTTAGCTTTAGTGTCAGAAGATGGTGGTTGATTAAATAATCTGGTGCCTGTATTCGGATTGCATATTAAACCTGAAACTTTTTTTTACCTATACATGTCTATAAACCATTCGAATAGAATTTACTAAATACTAGAGTATTTAAATATTAGTGACCAAGGATTTGTTTAAACTCTGGCCCATCATAACTCTGACACCCCAAAAAGTTCCTCACTGTCCACTAGATGGCACTGTTCACCAGCCATGACTGTGGAAAGGACGTGACCATTCAAGACAAAATAGACCTATCTGAAGAAACTTTAACAGCCAAGACACTTGATCCTGCTGAGGTCGCCATATAGGCTACACTGGGATTATGACAAAAACACGATAAAGATTTCTAATTTCTACATATATTGCCTACTAGTCTAGAATGATTAAAAAAACTAGCTAATATTACAGTTCATTATGGTTCTTGACCTTTCAAATGTTATGCACATCGTGGCAGACTGTCTCACACTAGCATTCATCCTTTAAAACAAAACTTTCATCACAATTCCCCACAAATGAAAAGGGATACCACAGAAAACGGACATTAGGCATTTTATAATTGAGTTTAAGAATGAACTCAACTTTAACCAGGTGACCCCAACTTCTTGGGAAACAGAGTAGCTGGAGTACAAGTGGTATGTGAACCTGAGAAATTTTGTTTTTGTTGTTGACAGGAAGTAGGATTTATTGGTAGGTGTTGTGGTGGCAGCAGAGACTCATGAGTGCAGAACCCGCCATTTTTCCAGGGGACCATGATTAGAGATGTATCTGACCCCACAAGCATCTGGGAGGAGCGGCTTTTCGGTCACGTCTTCAAACTCATCCACATTAAATAAATTTAGTAAAGCTCCACTTCTTGGATGTGGGTTTTCTGGCAGTCAAGCAAACATGCTCCTTGTTCTGCATCTTGTGCAGATGGACATAATGATATGGCCACTATGGACCCTGGCCAGTGTGCCCTGGGCCTTTCCGAAGGCACCCCACATACCTGTCTGGGCCCGTCAGCCCCAGCACAGGACACCTTGCTGATGGGGATGATGTGGAAGGGGTGGAGCCACACTCAGATGTGACAGCCATCTTTGCCACAGCTTTTCACCTCGTGCTTGTTGACACAAATACAGGCAGCCTCCAAGGGCTTTGGAAGAGAGCTGCTCACATTCATCTGACACCATGTGGCCACAGAGTGGGAACACGTCCACTTTTGCCTTTTTCTGCCTCTAAAGATGCAGATCTTGGCATCAGGGACACCTGGGTAGAAGCAAGACTTTGGGTACAGCTTGTTCTTACAGCACTGGTAACACCGGGCAGGGCAGCAGCCCATGGCGACACCAGGATCTTCACTGGCAGCTGAAGGAAAGAAGAGCTGTGGAGAAATTTGAATGACTAGGTCCCTTGGCCACAGGAGGAAAACTAGACAAGTCAGCTCCAGTGTGATCCAGTAAAAACAGCACAGGACTATTAATCAGTCAGGCCCCCTTACTCTTGGCTCTGCTTCCAAACTGGTATAAAACTTCATGTAACTCATAGCCTCCTGGGCCTCAACTTGTTTCTTTGTAAAATAATAGGTTTTAAAAGGCCCTAAAAACTGTCATCCAAAATACATTAAAACAAAAAAGTACCTAGAAAGTGTTAAAAGCAGAAAGATAAGAATATATTGAACATTTTGAATTGACTCACCTGGAGACAAATTTATTTTCATTATTTCAATAACCTTGATAAAACACAATGGCTTTGAAAGAATTACTTTGAAAACACCATCTGATTCTGGTTTCTCCTAAGTATGGTTTCAAGGAAGTATGGATCACCTGTAGTTACCATACTAAGATTCTTAGTACATACCACTAAGAATCTTAGATTCTTACTACAGAATCTTACTACAGATAGCTAAGATTCTTACTACATACTACTTTCTGAAAAAATTGTTTCATTGTCAGTCTGTGAAAAGCCAAAAATAAAACTCTGGATTAGCTTTCTGGGCTTTTTTAATGCCCAGATGTTATCTGAGTTCAGTAGCAAGAGGTCACCATTAAGGAAAGACACCACCTGCTAAACTTCTTTTACGTGCATGATGCATTATTTGGTGGAAGCAAGTTATTCTTAAACACCTTTCAGTGCCTTAAACTAGACTGAGAAGACATGAGAACACCTAAAAACCCCAAATATGAGATGGGCCACATGCCCAGAGGCTAGGTCACAATTCAGTAAAACAAGTGTTTTTACGGAAGACACTGAACTTGGATGCTGCAAAGGTACCATATCTTCTTGGTCAAAAGGCACATATGTTCTATTAACACACTCAAACACAAAACTTAAAAATCATGCCCCGGCTGGGGAGCTCAGGTTAGAGCAGCCTCCCAATATGCCAAGGTTGTGGGTTTGATCCCTGTTCAGGGCATATACAAGAATCAACTAATGAACGCATAAGTAAGTCGAACAAGAAAACAAATTGATGCTTCTCCCCCCCCCCCACTTCCCCCTCACAAGCAAGAATGCATAACTAAGTGCAACAACAGATAGATGTGTCTCTCCCTCCCTTTCTCTATGTATATCAATAAAAAAAAACCCTTCAAAACCAGATATAAGAACAGTACTCAATAGTGGGACGAGCTTCAAAGACAACGAAAAACATTGGTTCACATGACGTGCATTTGTTAGTGGAAATGCATAGAACAAGGGTACTGTAAAATCCATGTCAAACTGCTAACTGTAATGGGAGACCAAGGTTGGAGAGGAAGGGAGAAGGCAGTGGCAGAGAAGGAACATGATTTTCAAAGTATTTGTGTCAAAACTTAACAAAGCTCATTTTTAAGAGAAATGGCTAGCCCTAGCTGGTGTGGCTCAGTGGGCTGGACAAAGTCCCAGACTGAAAGGTCACCGATTCCAGATAGACTCCAGTCAGAGCACATGCCTGAGTTGTGGACCAGGTCCCTGGTTAGGGGTGTGCAATAGGCAACCAATTGATGTTTCTCTCTCTCTCCCTCCCTCCCTTTCCCACTCTCTACAAATAAAAATATAAAATCTTTTAAAAAATGAAAGAAATGGCTAAGCTAATAATTTGGGGCACAAACTTAAGTTTTATAAGGAAGGTTAGGCAAGCAAAATAGTCAATAACACTGAGATGGACAAATTATAACTTTTAACAGAACTCTCTTTAAGGTATTTAAGAAGGTAGTTTATTTTGGTTCCTCTGCAGCAAGACAAGTAGAAATGTGGTATCTGCATGGTTAACTTCATCTTATCATACTTCTGCTAGTTTCATCACTAAACATGTAAGCCCAACCCTACCCCTCAACCCCACTGTCCCTCATTTTCTTGGGGGAGGCAGTGTGCTGTTCTTGCATATTTCCATCACCGTCACAATTCCACACAATAGACCAAATCTATGCAACGCACCTAGTGACTTATACCCAAATGTGTTTCCCTTTTATCCTCCTCTTACCTTCCCATGCTGGAAGCCCTGGGCTATCAGAGGGGAGAATGCCCATGCAGCACCTCACGACCGCTGTGCATTGACTGGGTGCCAGGTACCCAGGCCCAGCAGCTCCAGCCTGAGTGCTGTGCTGCCATTTTTCATGTGTGCTAGGTCAGGGAAAAGGTTCAGAACATGTTCAGTCCTCAGGAAATCTTTGTTCTTTCAGCCTAGTTAGATGGGAAACAGACTATAAAACACCGAAGAAAATCTCTAACATACCAATGTAATCATTTGACAGGATTTCTTCAAATTCATATTCAAAATTTACAACACAGAAACCATATAAAACTTGCTTTTTTAAAGTACCAACCATATTCAACAAAGGTATAAAACACAATTACTTTATTGATTTCTTACAATCAAATACTGCCAACTAGCATTACTTCCACTCATGCATCATTAAAAACAAAAGGATATTTCCTTGGTATTTTCAAATGATGCATTATACAATAAACAAAAAAGTTAGAACTTAAAATGCACCCTGATTAATTATGTAAACTGGTAATTTTTCTTTAAAAAAGCATAACTAATAATTTGGTTCTTCATAAAATGGAAATTTAAATATTTCTCCTGATAGTCTTGAGGTTATCATTATGTTATGAGTAGTGCAAAGTGTGGCACACAAGAGTTTTATCTAGAAAGGTGTGTGTTACACACCTTATTAAACAAATGAAATGTGCATAACAAAATGCGTACAGTCAATGCATGATAGAAAGCATGTTTCAAATATAAGGCAGCCCCTCAGGTCACCATATTATTTAGGTTTTGCATTATCATTTATGGCATTATAGATTAATTACACATAACATACTTTTTTATACATTTTAACCCTGAAGATAAGAAAAACTGTTGCTTGAAAAAATTATTCCAGGTAGCCATTTGGTTTGTATCAGGAGAAAGTGAACCTCCAAGAGTTTAGTGTCTGCCAAGTCTGGAATCATTAGCTCGAGTCAGTAAGTCAGATATGTGACATATTTCACAGTGACCGTTTTCCAAGTCCTGGCAATGCCTCTTCTACACAGTATGCCAGATGATGAAGCCTCTCCGGGATTACCCTTGCATGTGGTTTTCCCTTTTTTTTTTTCCTTCTGGATTAACTGTATTATTTCCTCTTCTCATTTCTTCTGTGGTCTTCCATTTTAATTATTCATAAATCCTTTCAGAATATCCTCAGAGAGTTCCATAAGGGGAAGTTCTGGAGATGGAAAATCCAAGGGAGGAAGATTGGGTATTGGAATATCCTTGGCTTTCCCAGTATTTGCTGCAAACTTCTGCCAGGTTGAAGAGGCTGTAGCAGTTTCTGAATGTGGCGGCAAGCTCCATAACTCTGACTTTTCTACAAAATCAGCATCTACATCTAGCTCCTTTTCTACTGGGCCTTTTAGAAGTCTGGCCTTTTCGGCCTTTAGTTGTTTATTTTCTTTCCTTAATCTTTCATTCTCAGCAACAAGGAATTCCACATGCCTCTTCAAATCTGCAATTTTGGTTGCCTGCTCCTCTATAATTGTTTTATCGTCTTTTGGGGCTTTGCTTCCAATGCATGGTTCTGTTGGCTCACTCTTTTGCTGAAGTAAAAATAACAGTGTGTCTGGATCCCTGTCAAAGATCCCCTGAATTTCAGGCAGGTGTTTCTCTGTGGAAGGGCTATACTTGTGAGGGAGGAGGCCCTGGCCTTCAGCATCCTCAGTAAAGGGTTTGTGAACTGCCTGAGGCTGGGCAGGGGCATCCTTGTCTGTGCTCTGCTGGGCTTTCAATCTTTCCTCCCGCTTGGCCCTCTTCCACCGCTCCTGAATAAGCAGGAGCTGTTTCATGTGGCTGTCCCTTTGCAGTTCCAGTGATAAATGAGCCTATTACACAGAAAGAAAGGTACAATTTAACATTTTAAGTCTCTTCATTAACGTCCAGCAAACACTAATTCCAAGATTCTTCTGTCCAAATAATCCAGTAACACTTAAAATTCATATACTATGTTTGTAATTCAGTTGAAACTCAAAATTTTTCCAAAATAACCCGTTCTTTCTAGGTAAGCTAACACTATTTTTTGTTGTTGTTAGCTTATGAATATAAATAAAACACCATTCATTCAGGAAGTCAGAAGTCCTATTCCAAATCAACATTCTGATCAGAACTTTTTAAAATGTGCCTTAATCCTCTGCAGTGCCATTGATAATCGGCTTAAAAATCAGAAAACTTTCCTCTGTAGACATCCATTCTACAACTAGCTAGAAAGTCTTTTCACTGACAGGGTGTTCGGAAAGCTCACATGAACAGTTCTCTACAGTCAAAGGAAAGTGTGCCAGATAGAACTCGACTTTTACATTCTCTTGGTTCAGTTTGAGAAACTCGTGGTTTTTTTCTCATCACTGATATCCACTCAAAGAAAGGATTTCCTTAGTTCAATTAAATAAAAATTTACTAAGCCACCTCCTATGTACCTGCCACTTGTATAATCAGGAAATCATCTTTGGACAAAGGTATTTAAAAAACCCAGCGAGGCCTTCCCCAAACACTGAAGAAAATTTAAAACCATTGGTGAAACAAATTTATAAGTACCGAAAATGCACAAGAATTCAAGAAAAATTAAGTTCAGATTTAAATAATCTTTGAGAAGCAAAGGGAAGACCAATTAGTTCCTCCTTGCCCCAGGCCTGCTTACTTACTGTGAGCTCCTGGTCAAATGAGCTAATAATCAGGAAAGGCCCATAAGAGGGGTCTCAAGAACACAACAGCAATCTGAGATTTACAAGTAACACAAGTAACCACTAGAAAAAAAAGGACAGAAATTTCTACATACCTTGTCTGGTACATCAACAATCGTTCATTTAGTTTTAATTTCCTTTCTATTCTTCTTTTGCCCATTTTTATATACAATGTAGGGCAAAAGCAAGTTTACAATTTTAAGTACATGAAACAATTTATTCTTGTGTTCCCCACCCTGTACTTCAACCATATTGTTTTGAGAAGGGCATAATGCTTTATTTTATACACAACTCTTCACAAGAAAAATCCTTCTAAGCCCCTGTTGCAACTGTAAAAATGTCTCACCTGCTCAGACTGTGTCAGCTTCATGGCTTCAGAAAGATACGCTGATTAAAAAAAAAAAAGTGAGAGGCACATTAATATGAGTGTCATCATTTTGTAATCAACAGGTCAAAGGAAGAGTTTTAGTACCCCTCATATGACAGAGACAAACTTAGAAGCAACTCTGCTACATAGTTATCCTGTTCCTGAAAAGAAGCAAGGTAGGGATTTAAAAAAGATGTCAGTGGTAATATGTAAATATTCCCTACCCCATCTTGAAGGAGTTTGTTCTTTAAAATTTGTGTTTATTACACAATTAAGGAAGGTGGCCTAATCAGAAAATAGGATTAGTGAGGATTAAAATTTAACAAGAATGCATCAAAATGCTATTATTCATTGTGCTCACAAAAATATCAAGAGCTGATTATCAATGACTTTTTTACCCACATGAATACCTGGACCATCTTTTGGGACTCCTACATAACTTCTTATTGACTTGTTTCTGAGCTATGCCAACAGCCCACTACGAATTAGGGAGTTAAAAGCCCCAAGAACTTGTTTACATTTATCGTAAGCAAGTTGTCAAAAACAGTACACAAGGTCGGTCCAGGAAGTATCCAGCCATGCAATACGAAAAATGAGACAGTTATTGAAGATACAAAATAAAAGAAACATTGTACACAGGACAATGGCACCTCAGTCCCCTTCAAAGTTGGCACCCTGGGACCTCAGAGTTTCTCTGTGTCTCTTCCACCATTCAAAACATTCTGCAAAATCCTTTGGTGGAACAGCCATCAGCTGCCCTATCATATCTTCCTGAATGTCACTGATGGTCTAAAATCTCTTTCCTTTCAAAGATGACTTTAGGTTTGGGGAAAGCCAGAAGTCACAGTGCGCGACATCTGGGCTGTAGGGGTGCAGTCACCTGGGTGACTTGCTGTGTCGCCAAAACACTCTGCATGAGACGTGATGCATGAGCGGGTGCGTTGCCATGAAGCTGCCAATCACCACTTGCCCATAGCTGCAGCCTTCTGAATCATCTGAATGGTTTCTATGGAGGAATGTTCAAGCTTAATACAAAATTTGATGTAGATTCGATGTTCTACTTGCTGAGGCATTCTGAATACAACAGCCACATAGTACACATGCTCACTCAATTGCGTCTACTACCCCTACTTACTAGTACAGTGAAGTCACCATTGTCCATGCATGTGCATTTCAATTTCAGTCCACTCTCCTTGGCTGCAAGGTTATTACACTGATGTCACGCAAACCATTCTCGTTATTTTAACAATGGTTTGACTTTTTCTGGACAGACCTTATTGTATAGTGTCATTGACAAAACCATAAATGATCAATAACTTAATAAACTTCTTTTTGATCTTAAGAACAGTTCCTAGGTGACTTAATTTGTTTAAATTTAAACAGTTTGAGCTGACTGCTAGAAAGCTTAAGGCCAAGTTCTCCTATCAAATATGCAAGAACCCATGGTGCTTTTTATGAACTAAACTCTCAGTCCTTTTTCATTCTATCTTTTTATGGAGTCCTCATCTACTTATTTTTAATTACATTTTATATTTGGTTGTATTTATCTCTAAGGCCTTCTATATACCTGTCTAGTGATGATCCAAATATGTTAATGATTTTCTGAGTCCAAGACTAGAACTGCCGTCTCTCAAGTTCTACCATAGTCTTTAAGATACAACTTCATTGGATGCTCCCTCCACAATAGAAAGCATAGAGTTGGTTATACAGTTTTTGCTCCAGCCACTTACCTTTTTTCCTCAAAATTTTTTTCCTTTATTCCTATATTGTCTGTACAACTGCATGAAGACTATTCCTTTTCCTTTTGTTCATGTTTAACTCTGATGAGAGAGTCTATCTAGTGTTCTGTCTGATAGTGTGGATGAATTTTTCTAGCCATCCTTTCCATTATGACTGTATATATTTGTCTCTTTGTCTGAACTACAGTTTGCTTTAAATCTACCTTCTTAACAAAAATCAAATGTAAAACAACTGGAATGCCTCCTTTTGTATAATCCTCAAACTATGTAACACGACAGAAGAAGAAGCCCAAGGACACTGAGATGCCAGAGCACAAAGAACTGAATAGGAGTCACACTGTCATTTAAAGTACTTGCAGCCCTGGCTGGTGTGGCTTAGTGGATTAAGTGCTTGCCTGCAGCCAAAGGTTGCCCGTTCAATTCCCTGTCAGCATACATGTCTGGGTTGCAGGCCAGATCCCCAGTTGGAGGTGTATGAAAGGCAACCAAAAGATGTATCTCTCTCACATCAATGTTTCTCTCCCTCTCTCCCTCCCTCCCTTCCCCTCTCTCTAAAAATAAATAAATAAAGACAATCTGTATAAATAAATAAAGTAGTTCCACCATTTTGGCTTAAAATCTGGGCCTTTAAAAAGTTATTTTTTTTTTGTTTTTTAAAGATTTTGTTTATTTATTTTTAGAGAGAAAGAGGAAGAGAAGGAGAAAGAGAGAAAAACATCAATGTGTGGTTGCCTCTCACGCATCCCCTACTGGGGATCTCGCCTGCAACCCAGGCATGTGCCCTGACTGGGAATCGAACCCCCGACTCTTTGGTTCGCAGGCTGGCACTCAATCCACAGAGCCACACCAGCCAGGGCCAAAAACAGTTATTTTAAAACAAACAAAAAATGTTAATCTGATTGCATGATTATGGATTTGCTCTAGAATCACAAAAGGAACAAATGCACCACCAAGGCAGAAATTTAGGAAAGAAATACTTATCTATCAAAAAAACTAACAATTCTGGTTAAAATGCTTCCTTCAATTACAACACACGGCTAATATTTAAAGTAAATATTAAGCAAATGAGGGGGGAAGGAACTAAGAAAATCTGAACAATCTATTACTTCTTAAAATAATATCATTTACTATTCTATCAAAGTACAAATGTGCAGCCTATCTGGACACACACAGCAAAATAATGTCTCTGAATGACAAAGATTACTCTGTTGGGAATCATTTTCATGACTCCACAGTCTAATGGGAAGGTCAGGTCAAGACTTATTTTCAAACAAATACCTAGAAACACTCCTCTGAGGTCCCGCTCATCTGAAATGTTCATTCTTAGTTCTAAGCATTGTCAATGGACATTATTAACTTTCCATTTAAGCTATTGCTCTTTTTGCTGTGAAAGAAATGAAATTCACTTATGGAATTGGACCGCAGAAGACTGATAAGGGAAAATTACAGTAACAGCTGCTAATCAAAGGTTTAAAGCAATAAATTTTCCTAACAATACTGAATCCTTATAGTTTGTGGCCTCTTAACCTTTCTTTTTTTCATTAAAGGGTAAAATGTGAACATCTCCTCCTCCCCCCATCCTGCCAGATTTAGACAGCTTTTTTCCCCCCTGAGATTTGATAACTCAGTTTATCTGTCAAATTAATGCTCTTAAGTTCATTTTATCTAATTCAGCTGCTGTCCACCTCCAGAGCAGATCCTACCTTTCCCCGGAAGGACGGAGAAATCAAGTAACTTCTTTATTTCAACACATTTACAAAACAAACATTATCAAAAGTCTACAAAGTATACAGGGTATGAGTCCTGAGCTATGTAATCTCAAGGTAAATGTTGAAACTCAGAATCTCCTCTGACCTTTGACAGCTGAACACAGAGGCCACTTCTTCTGCCCTACATTCTCTCAGTTTAGGCTTTCTGTTTTACCAGTCCTTCCTGGATGAAACTTTCCCTGTCATATCTCTAAAATGATTTCCAGCCCTGACTGTTATGGCTCAGCTAGTTGTGCATCGTCTCACAAAGCAAAGGGTCACTAGTTTGATTCCCAGTTGGGGCACAGGCCTAGGTTGTGGGTTCAATCACCAGTTGGGGTGTGTACAAGAGGCAAATGAACCATGTTTCTCTCTCACACTGAGGTTTCCCTCTCTCCCTTCCCCTCTCTAAAAATAAATAAAATCTTTAAAAAGATTTCCAAAAACTAAATTCCTTCCTCTCAAAATACATGTACATTCACACCTCCCAAAACACCACTATTACAAGCCCTAGATGTCCTGAAAAACACTGAAATTTAAAAACTTTTTAAAAAGATTTTCCTTTTAGAGAGGAAAAACAAGGGAAAAAACAAGGAGAGAAACATCAATGTGCAAGAGATACATTAATCGGTTTCCTCTCACATACACCCAACTGGAGACCTGACCCACAACCCAGGCTACACCAGGAATCGAACTAGCGACCTTTGGGTTCACAAGCCTGCACTCAATCCACAGAGCCACACCAGCCATGGCAGGAAAGAGTTTTGATGGGTTTTGTATTATCAGCATCTTAGAAAACAAACTCAATGAAATTAATTAGTTCGAATTAAACTAGTCATTACCTTCCAAACCCAAAATGGCTAACTATTTGAAATCCAGACTCCTTTTCTATAATAACTAAAACGAACTGACAGACTTCTTGCAATCACTTTTGCCTTTAGGGATCTTTGGGCTCAGAAAGCTGTGTCCAGGAATCATTTGCCAATATGGCATGTGCATCATGGTTAAGAAAGACGGGGTTAAAAGGAAATCCAATGCACTCAAAAAATAATGCACGCTGATATAGCTTCAGAAGGCTTCAAGTCAAGATGGAGGTGTACACAGACACTCTTTGCCTCACCTCACTGCACATCCGTGAGAAGGAACATAACTAACTAAAAAATGAAAAACACCTAGCACTGCCAGAAAATCACCCAGAACTGTACAGAAGTCTGACAACCAAGGACTGAAAGAAACTATATTCATCCAGACGGGGCAGAAACAGGAGTCTAGGCAGCAAGGACTTAGTGTGGTGGGAAGTGGAGGTGCGGGGGGAGGAACAGCAGAGAGGTGGAGAGGGAGTGAGGCAATGGTGGCCGACAGAACGCACAGGCCCACATTCATGTGTGGTGCATAAAAATCAGGGAGACACCTTGTGAGCGAGCGAGCCCTGCCCCAGGCCAGGCCTCTAGGCCCAGGAAAAGACTAGCAACTTCTGGAGGTAAACCTAGTGGGGGTTGGGGCAGGGGAAGAAGCTGTTGGTTTCTCAGGAGCGCCTAGGAGGTAAGCAAATCCACCCACCCTGGGCACCATAACCAGGACAGCAGCTGAAGGGGCGCCAGTTGCACACGGAAAGTGGGTGAAGTGACTGGAAACAGGACAAGAGCCAGGCAAGACCCCAGAAGTCAGCCAGCAGAGGCACTGTCCCCTCTTTGACCCCTCCTCCCCACCCCCGACAGAGCCACAGTTGCCCTGCCCTGGCGAGTAGCCAAGGCTCCTCCGCATACAACTAAACAGGTACGATAAAATGGAATCAAAGAAACTCTACCTCCTACACAGACACAGGGAGGCTGCCAAAATCAGGAGACCAAAAAAAAAAAAAAAAAAATGGCTCAAATGAAGGAACAGAATAGAACCCCAGAAAAAGAACTAAGTGATATGAAGACAGCCAACCTATCACACACAGTTCAAAACACTAGTGGCCAGGATGCTCAAAGATCTCACTGAATACAGCAAAAACAAAAGGGAAGAAAAGGTGGCTCTACTAAGGGAAATAAAGAAAAATCCACAGGAAACCAACACTGAAGTTGGGATTCAAATCAATGATTTGGAACATAAGGAAGAAATAAACATTAAGTCAGAACAAAATGAAGAAACAAGCATTTTTTTAAAATGAGGACTTTAAGAAGACTCTAGGAAATCTCCAAAGGGGCCAACATCCGAATCATAGGAGTGTCAGAAGGAGAAGAAGAGCAAGAGATCGAAAACTTATTTGTAAAAAGAATGAAAGAAAACTTCCCAAATTTGGCAAAGGAAACAGACATACAACTGCAGGAAGCACAGAGTCCCAAAGAAGTTGGACCCAAGGAAGCCCACACCAAGACATATGATAATTAAAATGTTAGAGATTAAAAATAAAGAGAGAATCTTAAAAAGCAGCAAGAGAAAGGCAGAGAGTACCCTACAAAGGAGTTCCCATAAGACTATGAGCAGATTTCTCAAAATAAATCTTACAGGCAAGAAGGGACGGGCAAGAATTATTCAAAGTGAGGAAAAGCAAGGACCTACAACCTAGATTACTCTACCCAGCAAAGCTATCATTTAGAATTGAAGGGCAGATAAAGTGCTCCCCAGACAAGATAAAGTTAAAGGAGTTGATCATCATGAGTGTCTTATTATGTGAACTGTTAAAGGGACTTATTTAGGAAACTGAAGAGTATCAAAACTGAACATTAAAATGACAACAAAGAACTATCAACAACTGAATCTAAAAAACAAAAACAAACTAAGCAAACAACTAGAACAGGAATAGAATCATAAATATGGGTATCATTTGGAGGGTTATGAGCAGGGAGGGAGAAGGGGGGAAATGGGGAGAAAGACATAGGGATTAAGAAGCATAACTGTGTAGGTACAGAATGGACAGGGGGATGTTAAGAACAGTATAGGCAATGGTGAAGCCAAAGAACTTTATGTACATATATAACCCATGGACATGAACTAAAGGTGGGGATTGCGGGATTGCGGGAGGGAAGTGAGGAACCAGACAGAGAGAAGCAAAGGGAGAAAAATTGGGACAACTGTAATAGCATAATCAATAAAATATACTTTTAAAAAAATGCAAGCTGATGTTCCAATGGAACAACAGGGTCAACCTTGTACATATAAGGCAACAACATCATTACTACTATGATTTTCATTCTAAAGAAAGTCTTGAAAGATACTGGAGAGAAATAACTGCCCTACAGTTTTAGACTTAGTATTTCTTAAAAAGAATACTTACCTGTAGCCTTTTTGTGACAAGAAATAGCCTCCTCGTATTTCCCTGCAGCTAATAAACGATCTGCTCGTCTGCTCTGTTGATGAGCCTAGAAAACAAACATTTCTAAGTTATTCTGAATCATAAAAAAAGACATGATTTTTTTTCTTTAAAGAAGATATATGCCGTGTGTTGCAACACATCAAACGATTTACAGCTATATCTGTGCTGGGAACTCTAACAGGTAGCTGCATAAAGTACACAGCATCTAAAGTGTAAAAGTGATGGATCACTTTTTTCAACTCTACTAATAAACCATCAAGTTTAACAGCAGGCACTTTAAAAACTTCTTCAGTAATCAACGTTCTTCAATTCTTCAGAGACTAAGCAAGAGTCACAGTCATAGTTTGTTATTCAGAATGTGTTTTCTTGATTTTTAATAAGTTCCTTTCAAAACATGAGTTATTTTGTAGATACTATTTTGTATAGCGTAACAACTATAATCAGGAAATTACTTATCGCCTATTAAAATCCAAGCTTCTCTTGTACCTACTCATTCTTCCCTTTCAAGTTTAAAGTTACTGTTTATGTTCTTAAAATGTAAAATGTGCACTTTGTACAGCTGAAGAATTAATGGCACCTATATTTAATATTACAGTGGAGATTTTCTTAAGTACAATTCACCAACAACAAAGACAAACTCACAAGTTCTGAAAACAATGACTAAAGTGCCCCCAAATGTAAAGGTAAATAGATTAAATGAGTAGTTATTGGTCTCCTTACTTCTGTTATACTTTAAGAATTATTACAACTTTGAAGGACTCCTGGAAAAGATGGAGGCCTAGATAAACACAGCTCACCTCCTCACATCAAAATTACAACTAAAATATGGAACCACCAACCATCCCTCAGTACCATCAGATACTGAGTTGAATGGGAGTCTGACAACTACAGAATTAAAGAAACAACATATCCCTGGTAGGAGGCAGAACAGGCTGGTCCCACATTCACATCTGTTGGATAAAATCACGGGGGGGATATCTCAGGAGCAAGGACTCCCAGCCACACACCAGGCCCTCAACCCAGGGTTCCAGTGCCAGGAAGGTAAGTCCCCATAACTTCTGGCTACAAACACCAATAGGGATTGAGTCAGTGGAAGACACTTCTGGAATCCCACGCCAATTCCTCTTAAAGAAGCCACATACAAATTCAGGTTCACTCCCTCTGAGCACCAGCACTTGGGTAGCACCTTGAAAGGCACCAGTGGCATGATGGGAGAAAATGAAGTGTGTGGCATCAAGGCAGGAGCTGGGGAACAGAGGGGAAGGCAAAGGCCATTGTCCCTTGTCTGAGCCCTCCACCCCACAAAGCCACAGAGCCAGCAGGCTGGTGCCATATCTAGGGCTCCATCAACATTGTTAACACCGTTTGCACCACCCTGGAGAGCCCCAGTGACTCAGTTCCAACTAAGGGCCCACACAAACTGCTTTTCCATATGAATGGCTGGTCTTGGCTCATGCTTCACAACTTCCTAAATCCTACCAAACAGGCAAAAGCCAGCCTCCATAAGCTCCCAGACCCCATAACTCTTGCTAAATGGCCCCAGCCCCAGCCCCAGCACTAGCAGCAGCCAGCCTAGATTCACAGCTTGGCTTTGCCTGGGCATTTCCAAGCCCAGCACAAGTAGTAGCCATCTCAAACTGCTTTATATCTCAGGCAGGGTGGCCCCAGCAAAACACATGTGGGGGCTGACCCTGGCCTGCACCACTGGGAAACGCTTGGGTCAAGCCCAGCTAGTGGACAGCTACAGACCACGTTGGATCACCACCACCCAGCACCCACACCGCTGATCATCCACAGAGGATGGTGGTCAGTGGTCACAGCCAGTCCTTGAAGCTGACTGGCCTTGGTAAATTCCTCCCAATGAGCTGCCAACAGCAATCAAGTCCCAACTGCAAAACGAGGGTGTATCCAGACTACACAAAGGGCACACCTCAAGTACCCAGTGTGGGTGATAGGGGACGCTGTGCCACCGGACCCTACAAGACACCTACTACATTAGGCCACACTACTAAGACAAGGAGTCATAGCAGCTATACCTAATACATAGAAACAAACACAAGGAGGCTGTCAAAATGAGTGGACAAAGATACATGGCCCAAATACAAGAAGAGATCAAAACTCCCCAAAAAGAACTAAACAAAATGGAGACAAGCAATCTATCACAGGCAGAGGTCAAAACATTTGGCTATTGGATGTTCAAAGAAGTTACTGAGGACCTCAACAGCATAAAACAGATCCACTCAGAAACAAAGGATACACTAATTAAAATAAAGAACTATTTACAGGGAAACAACAGTAGAGTGTATTAAGCTGAGAATTGAAACAATGATTTGGGACATACAGAAGCAAAAACAACCATGCAAAACAAGAAGAAAAAGATACCAAAAAGAAAGATAGTGTAAGCAGCCTCTGGGACTTCAAGAGGTCCAACATCCACATCATAGGGGTGCCGGAAGGGGAAGAGAAAGAACAAGAAATTGGAAATCTATGTGAAAAAATTAGGAAAGAAAACCTCCCTCGTTTGGTGAAGAAAATAGATGTGCCAGTCCAGGAAGCACTGAGAGTCCCAAACCAAATGGATGCAAAGAGGTCCACTCCAAGACACGTCATTATTAAAATGTAATGGTTAAAGATAAAGAAAGTATCTTAAAAGCAGCAAGAGAAAAAGCAGGTAGTTACCTACAGGGCAGTCCCCGTAACACTATCAGCTGATTTGTCAAAAGAAACTTTACAGGCTAGCAGGGACTGGCAAGAAATATTCAAGGTCATGAAAAGCAGGGACCTTCGGCCAAGATTGTTCTACCCAGCAAAGCTATCATTTAGAATTGATGGGTAGATAAAGAGAATCCAAACAAGAAAAAACTAAAGGAGTTCATCATCACCAAACCATTATTACATGAAATGTTAAAGGGGCTTGCTTAAGAAAAAGATCAAAACTATGAACAATAAAAGAGCAATACATGCATGTCTATCAACAATTGAATCTAAAACACAAATTAAGCAAACAAGATGAACAGACAGATTCATGGATACAGAGTGTTTTGAATGGTTGCCAGATGAGAGGGGCACATGGGGGAATGGGTGAGGAGGTGAGGGGATTAAGAAGTACAGATAGGTACAGAACAGCCATTGTGATGTAAAATAAGTGGAATAGCCAAAGAACCTACACATGACCCATGGGCATGAACAATGGTGTCAGAAATTGCATGTTGGCCTGAGGGTGCTAAGTGGAGGTGGCAAAGGGGGAAAAATTGCGACAACTGTAATAGCATAATCAATAACATAATAAAAAAAAGAATTACTACAACTTAGTAAATGTGTTTCCCTCTCTTTTAGGAGGTCCAGACTCAGGAGTTACATCTTATATCACGTTAAACAGCAAGCTAGGAAAAAAATAACCAACTAAGGTCTTCTATACCTACTGTAATGTTTTTCTCACCAATAAATTCACAGATGACTTAGCAAAGCTTCTTTGAAAGTGAAAAGCACTCTATACCTGTGTTATTTGCAGCATTATTCACAATAGACAAAAGGTGGAAGCAACCCAAATGTGCATCAATACATGAACAAATGAACAAAATGTGACACATACATACAATGGAATATTACTCAGCCTTAAAAAAGTAGGAAATTGACACACGCAACAGTATGGATGAACTTTGAAGACATTAGGCTTAATAATGTAATATAAAATAAGCCAGTTACAAAAAGACAAATAGTGTATGATCTCGATCTCACATAAAATATCTGAAATAGTCAAACTCACTGAAACAGAAAGTAAAATGGTGGTTGCCAGAGGATAGGGGAAGAGAAATGTAAGGAGTTCTTGTTTAATGGGTGTAGTTTCAACTTTGCATGATGAAAAAGTTCTGGAGAACTGTTTCACAACAATGTGAAGATACTTAATGCTACCAAACTGTACACTTAAATGTAACAAAGAGGTAAGTTTTATGTTATGCACAGTTTACCTCAATTTTTTAAAAAAGTAAAAGCAAATCTGTTTTGTCAGGTGTAAAGTAAAATACTTGAGAATCACTTTTGCAACTAACTGAAATTAGAAACTTGTTCTCTAAGTCTCAATTTACTCCTGAAAATAATTATGGATAACAATACATGGCTGGGTGCTTAAAATAATTTTAACCATGAAGTCCTGGACTGACCACAATATACTCTGAACACAGCAGTATTTTATAGTGCTCAGAAATGATATAGGTTTTTCAGGAAGAGAATATACATGATAAAGAAAACTAAGTCACAAGCAACACGGTTTCTCTAAACAATGTGTTCAGATAGTGAAAAGCAAGTGGTAATCAATCAACAAGGTTTTAGGCAAGGAAAAAAAAGGACTAAAAGGGGTGAATCTGCAGCTGCCTTTACCTTCCTGAGCTTTGAAAGATGCCATATATGAGACAAATCCTCTTTGAAATCCCATAGTATGTCTTACAGACGACATGGTGCAGGGCCCGTCCTACCAAGAATCTAGGGCTCTTGGCTTAAGTTCTGGCTTACCAACTAAACCATGTAAGTTAGTTCATCATTCACGGCCTGTTTTCTCACCTGTAAAATAGAGTTGGACCAGACCTGTACTTTTCAAGTTTTAATGGAATAAAGATCACCTGGCAATATGGTTAAAATGCCAACTCTTATTCAGTAGGTCTGAAGGAGGGCTTGAGATTCTACCAAGGTGAAGCTGAGAGGCTACCAAACACACTGAGATGCAGAGATGAGCTCCTCTTTGAGGTTACCTCACTCTAATATTATGTCTCTATCATCTCTTTCACTTCATTAATCACTTTCTACCTTGAACTATATTTGTGAAGCTCCCAATTAAGCTTCATGCTCCACAATAGAAATAAATTGTTTCACCAAAAAACCAAAAAGTTCTTAAGTAGTGAGAACAGGACCTCATGGCTCTCCTGACTCCCCTTCAACTTCACCATGTAATAATATCCAACCTCTCATCACTGCCAATTTAGGAATTACATCTCAATTAAAAACACAGATGCTTTCTGGGCTATTTGACACCACGGTAATAAAATTCCCTAT